TTGATTTTTTAACTAGAGATATTTCTTATTTTGTGACAAAGTCTTTGTTTATAAAATAAGCTGAGGTTCTTTAATCTAGCAGGGCTAAGAATTTGTAATTTTTGGTTCTAAATAAACTTCTATTATGAAATAAGTTGAGGGATCTATAGAAAGAATATGACCTTTAGTAGATGTTATACAAAAATTCAGCCACATGGTTCCTATTATAATTAGAAAAACTTTTTTTTGATACATCATTTTTTTTAGCAACCATGCTCCTTCTTGAACCATGTTCCTATGAATCCAACTTGAATAAATCCATCATAGTATTCAAAAAGATGTAATCTTAGATAGAACTTTGTTTAATATAAAAATCCTCAAAACTTTGATCTTATTCCATTAAACTTCTTTAGCATACTTATTCTTGTCTTGCTTATACTTATAGTATAAAAATTCCTCAGATTTAATTGTAAACTTGATTTACTTACTTCTCTTAATTGTACAACTTCTTGGATCAAAATTTGAACTTCATTGTTGACTTCTTCCATAAGAATAGGAATAATACATCTATGATTCATACTGAAAATACATGAGATTTTTATCCTAAAAGTATTAATAAGTTCATCAAGATCTATAATAGTTGCAAATCTATTCTCATTGCTATGAAGAGTAGTATCCATAATTTTTTCTTCTATAGATAATTCAAACAAATTCAAAAAATCAAATTAGAGCTGGATAATCTACAACCTCTAATATCAAATGAAAATATCTTCAAAGATGGATTATTCACTCTTTTTAAGGAAAAAAATTAGTATTAAAAAACTACAAGTTAGTTTATATGTAAGTAGTGTACAACCTTCAAAAATACAATAATAAAAGTGGGATAATTTACTTACTTCTAAAACAAAATCAAAACAATGATTTAAGATTCTTATCAATTTGTCAAGGATATGAATCTCAAAAAAAAAAAAAAAAAAAAAAAAAAAACTCCATATATTCTTATGTCACTCAAAAAGACTAAAAAATCATTCAAAGATGATAATATATTGAATTAGAATGGCTATTGCCAAGACAAAAAGACTAAAAAGTATTGAAACAAGACTAAAAACTAGAAAGTAATTAATAAGAGTGAAGAAGGCTTCATTCTTGTCTCTATATATACTATCTAACTAAAAGCTATGTAGCAATGTTCTATAAGATTTCCAACATATGTTGACTTTGCAAGTCATATGTCTTAACTTATAAGGCAAGTTTTTTATATATGTACCACATTATTAGCTTATATTACAAGCTACCAACATGTGCAATATGTGATTAGATTAATAACTAAATTTTTAATCTATTAATAAACTATAAATATGTATAAAATCAAATATGCATTTATTAAGGTTATAAGAAGTTTCATCACAAGATAATATCAAATCTACCTTTATTTATCTTCTATTTAATATTTCTTATATATATATATATATATATATATATATATCCATGATAGATACAATGCATTTGGTATCACAACCTTGGAAGAGACTTTCAATATTTGGTAATTTTACTAGATGTAAGAACAAATCTTGATAGTTTTATAAATATTTTATTTGAAAGAAGTTACAAAGGCCTCAATAATGATCAAATAATATGATGGTAATCCTACTCTAAAATGAGATATTATTAGTGGCTGAAATTACCTATCAACTATATTAAAAAAAAACAATGATTAGAATATGTAGCAAATACAATTTGTCATATCTTGGACTTCATCAATATATGATTACCACTCTTTATGAAACTTGTTTCTAAAAAGGGGGAATAATGTTATAGAAATATTTACTTTAATAATTATTTAGGTAATATGATTAGATAAAAATAAATAAAAGTAGATTAATTTAATAATATATTATAGAAAAGCTTCTTAGAAGCTTCATAGATGCAATTTCATCTTTATACATGTGTATATGTGATTGATAGGTTAGAAACTTGGCCAATAAGTTAACCAGGTGTGACATATATTGATCACTTATGGTACAAGCTAATAATATGGCACACATATAGGAAACTTGCCTTACAAGTTAAGACATGTATCTTATAAATTAGATATATATTTGAGGTCCTATATAATGTTGCTATATATCTTTTAGGTAGATAGTATATATAGAAGAAAGAGTGAAGACTTCTTCACTCTTATCAACTCCTTTCTTACTTCTAGTCTAGTTTCAAGAGTCTTTAGATTTCTAGTCTTTGATAATATCCATTATAATTTTTTTCTTTTGAATATATATACTTTCTTACTATCATTTTGCCATCTCTCTTTGATACTTATGTCATTTATTTATGTATCTTCTTTTGAATTCTTATCCTTCACAACTAGAAACAAAAAAAGACATTGACAAGAATGAAAAAGGTTTTATTCTTATCTCTATATATACTATCTAATTAGAAGCTATATAGTGATATTCTATAGGGTCTTTAATATATGTCCAACTTACAAGACATATGTCTAACTTGCAAGATAAATTTTACATGTATACCACACGACAAACTTCTACTAAAAGTGGCTAATATGTTTGACATATGGCCAACTTATTGGCTAAATTTTCAACCTATTAATCAACTATAAACACATATAAAATCAAACTACATTTATAAAGCTCCTAAGAAGCTACTTAATAAGATGTTATCAAATTTTTTTATTTCTACTTATTTCTATTTTATTTCTTTAATATAGATAAAAATAAATGTCTATGACACTACAACAAAATCCTATACCATGTTTTAAACTTCTTATAGTTATTAGAGCTTCAAATTATAAATTTTCAACTCAAGCACTTTTAGACATTAGAATATCAACATGTCTATAGATAAAGACTTTATATTTTAATAAGAATTAATACTTTTAAAAAATATTAGACTAATTCTAGTAAAAACTATTGATAGATAATTAGTTGCATTTAGAGACATCATAGGAGAAACCAAACTATTAAAGTTGTATTAATAAATTAAATATCTAATATTATATTTAACATCAATTAATATCTTTTAAATCTAATTATACTTAACCTCTTTTGGTTTGAATTACATAATCTTTGTATTGATTAAAAATTATAAAAGATCACTCAAAGATCTAATTTTAATAATAGCATACCATCTTGACATTTATTTGTGAAAACCAAGGCATTTACAGAAGATAAAAAAGATGGAAATACAATTGTTATTTTAGTAATATTAAGTCGTCATCCAATTGAAGATTGCAATAGAATCCTAAAGCACCATATAGAATATCAAGATGTGTTTGAAAAAAAGAATTTTGATGTATTATTAAAACACTAACCTTATGATTGTATAATTAATTTTTTTAAAAAAATCAATTTGGATCGATTTACAACTAATTGCAAAATAAACTTGGTACTTTGAAGAAATACATTAATAACAATCTTATAAAGAATTTTATCTAACATTCAATACTTTAATATTAATAAAATAAACAAAAATAAATACTAAATTTTTTTATATACAAATTGGTCTAAGTCTTAGATTGGAAGTACTTCAATTAAAGATTCTTCCTTCTAATAATATTACTAGAAATAATTTTGATAGTTTATCTTTTATTTCAAATTATTTAAAATTTAATATATTTAATTATTATTTGGTGATGATTTAACTACCAAAGTTCAAATAACTACTTGGGGCATTTATGAAGATTTTTATTTTTATCTTTTTGGTTCATGGATTGGTAAATTATTGTAAAATTCTTGGTCCAAAACTTTGTTATCATAAAATATTTAATTAAATACTTGATTAATCTTTGAAGTACTCTATTATGTTTTTAAGAAGGCTTACCACTTTTTTTTTGGATGCTTGAAAAAATTATGTTATTCTTGTGTTACCCGATTTTCAGATCTTGCCACAATGAAATCTCTCATGGCATATTTACACATTTTTGAGGCCACATTCCTTTGATTAATCTGGTGAGAAGAGTTCCAGAGACGTCTCTGCACTGTCAACTTTGTTCTCATGGACAGTTTCTGGTCGAAGCGATCTACCTTGACACTCATCCTGGACCATTTAAAACTGAAATGAAGATGTATTGTTGAGTTCTGTTCCGTCCTCGAGAATATTACTCTCTGTTTCTGCATGCACTTTGTAAATATTCACAGGAAGCGGCACAAGCCCGTCCCGAAGCATAACGTGTTTGTTCGTTTGTTGTCTCTGTTTTCAAGGTAAGCAAACTTGTTCTACCGATTTCACGTAAACCGAGAGTTTGAAAGAACACTTAAAATCAGTTGATTTCAACTGATTTTTAAGTAATTGCTGCGCATGTAGCATGATCAGCTGGAGTCATCTGGCTGAACATACTACATGCGCAGCAAATACTTGGAAGATTTTCTGGCTTCCTGAGAAGCACAGGAACTCCCAATTTCCAAGAAGTATGCGGAGGTGTAATTGGGTCTAAAGTGACAGAACTTTGTCATCTGGAACTTATTTACAGTCGAGCAGCAGATCCGTCCACTGATGTCAAGGAGTGCCAGAACAACCAGGGCAGAGCATTCATGAATAAGTCACGGATATTGCACCTTTCACAGAACTGCACGATTGGTTGCTGAAATGCCTTCGCGTGCAGAAGTCTCTGTTGCCGCTCTCAAGTCTGGTACAGGAGAGTCCGTGCTTGTGGGCACAATTCAGGGCCAAGATAAATAAGAGGATGGCGTTACATTTGAGAACGGTGTACGACTTAGCAGGGCAGTTGATTCGTTTGCACCGAAAGTGAATGTCCCAAATCTTCATACGGATTTAAAATGGTTTCAGATGCTAATTTTTAGATAGCTCTTGATACAGTTTAAGAGATGATTGTTACAGAACATGGCACTCAGTGGTACGGTTAGTGAGGATTATTTAGTTACGTATATACACCATAGCGGCTAGGACTCAATTTCTTTTCTGTCTATGAGGAAAAATCTGAAAGTTTCAAAGATCATTTCCAAACAAAAGCTACCGCATTAATGAACTGCTTTGATCCGAGACGCATATTACATTGCTCGAACTGAAATATTATTGCTTCAAAGAAAAGCTTTTCAAATTCGGTGTAGACATGAGTAGCGTGACAAAAGAGGTCACTGTACCAGCAACAGCACAAATTACGCACCTGGCTCTCTAGAATGCACAAACATTCTTATCACAACAAAACAACCAGATCCTCCAACCAGATAGGAGATGCTGGCTCCAAAGGTATCCAAATCGAGATTCCACTGTACAATTCCTATAACTATTCCAGTTTATAATGGTGCTGAAAACCCTGCCCGCATTGCCTGCGCCTTTTTCTTGGCAATTTTTTTCTCTTGGGCAATAGCGCGTGCCTTTGCCTCCTGTTGCCGCCTTCTCTCTGCAAGATACAAAAGCACATCCTGGATAAGTTCCAATAATACCAGCCAAATCCTTAACTAAACTCCAATTCGTCCTGATTACTGAAGCTGTGGCGTTACGAATAGGGACGCCAACATAACATAATGTCACTAATCCCAATTGCAAATGCTTCAATAATCAGGATACAGCAATACTTCCCAATTACACAACGATCTTTTTCAAAGTTACGACGAAAATCCGTTTACGAGCACACTGTAATTAACATGCAAGCACGATACTATGCATTAATAACAATTCACTACTGTTAATGAGCCCTGACAAACACAAATATGACAAGCTCCCCTAAAATCAATGCATTATTATTTTTAATAAACTGGAATGCTTTTCATGAAAGAGAAAGTATTGACCATACAAATTGCTCATTGATCTGGGAGGAATTTCCCCACTTCAACACTCCTAGCAAAAGCCGACGACATATTGCAGGTATGCCTAGCATAGCTTGCATATCCAGGAATAATGCATAAGGCTGGAAAAAAATTCTGGACTCCGCACTACTCCAATAGATTGGTCTAAAAAGGAGTATTTATCTGAAATGGGAAAGCTTTCCGATAAAACTGATGATCAAATGTTGAATTATGGTCAATTCCACTTAGAACAGCAGTTTGATTGGTTGAAAAAGAAAGTGGAAGAATGTACCTGTGGCAACCGATTTCTGGACTATGTTGCTTTCCTGCGCTACTTCGTGATCCTCCTTGGGAAGCTTAGGATGTGCAAGTCGATAAAGCCCAAGAGAAATGTCGGCTTTTAAGTGTGCCAACTTTTCCCATAAATGCGCACTTGCCATACTCATCTTCTTCCCTGAGCTGCTTCCCGACTTAGCAGGCGAGCCACTCCCCATTTTCAGTTGCACCCCTTTCCGTTGAAACTGTCGCACCCTCTGCTATAGTATGCTGAATGAACAGATACCGCCAACGCCAACTACTGAACCGTTGGAGTCTAGTTTGCACTTACAAAGTGTCTCTTGGCACTACCTGATACTCTTTCCTAAGCTGACAACCATATGGACTCATCCGCCGACACTCAGTATCTTCCGTGGGCAATCACTGATATAGAAAGTCTCGCCACGAGGATGTTATGCAGACTCAAGCGTCTAACAGTCGCCAAGTACTTAAACCTGTCGCTGACACACCTTTAAAAATATCTTCACACAAAAACAAAACAACCTTCAGACAAGTTTTCTTGTACATGAACGCATCATGCTTCAAGGACAGATTGAGCGAGGAAACATGCCTAAACTTAGACTGTACACTCAGCAAGCGGCAAAAAAACGTACCAAACACTAAGAGACCACTTCAAACCAAGGGACTCTCCCCAATCCAGTTCAAAGGAAAACGCTAAGTCTCGCTGGCTTCTGCTAAATTAACAATATCCTTGCATTGCGGTACCACAGATTATCTCAAAAATGAAATCCTAGACAGGTAAGCAAAAAAGCAGATCAATGAGTCCTTCACAAACACAATCCAGCATCTACCATGCCGTGTCGACAAACTCACAACCACCAAAATCACACACATGTACACAATGATGACCGCTACTTCGCCAACTCTTCCTAAGAAGGCTCTATCCCACTATGTCCCCTTCCCTTCTCTCTCCCGTTCCACACAACTACAGACACCGACCGCAACTCTAAATTAAGCAACCTCACAGACACGGTGACATGGAATTCAAGAAATCACCATTACACACCAGCTAGCAATGCGGCAGTTGCAAGCATAATCTCAATCGCACGCCACTGCTCATCCCTGTCTCGTATCCTGATCCACGCGGAAACGGAACATAAGCGCACCACAACTCCTCCACCAAAAGTCGCACCGAAAGGGCCTGTCGCGCCCACTACCACTTCGACTGTCCAAACCGTGGTAATATGAAAGTAAACGTTCGGAATAGTCTCGCGAGTTTTGGTTTTTAGAACAGCAAAAGGAGCGGAAGGTGTGCGGCCAATGGTGCGCAAAGAAAGAACGGAAAGCTGCAGATAGAATACCGGCTGTGGCAGCGAAGCAGAAGAGGAAGACGACGACTAAGCAGAGCATGAAAACAACAACGGAGGTTTCCTTCACAGTGTAGTCTTCACGCAGACGAGTAATGGAGCCATGGGAGGTGTGCAGGAGCCTTCGAGGAAGGCGGCGTCGTGAGATGCGTAATGGAGGAGACGACGACGGCCATAACCGGGTGGGTAGTGGGCTGATCTCCCCCCTTCTGTTATTACCTACCGTGTCGGGAACCACCTACCTACTTACCCATTTACCTACCTACCTACCTCCTTCCTACCTGCTTGCAGACATCCACGTACCTCCCTCCACCTTCCCTCTAATGGCATTCCCGCGTGTTCTGAAACTGTACCTATTTACCTACCCTGCCTCTGATTTGAAGGACGTCCTTGCTTCGGATTCAGGTCTGGTTCATTGCCTTGCCCGTGGGCTGTTGGCAAACTGCCCGCTCTACCCGCCTCTAGAAATTCAATTTTACGAAGATACTAAACAATAATTCTTGACAGAAACGATGCCGAGTTTTCGCCGAGTGACGTCGCCTCCATGCGATGACCGCCAGGTTTGATGAATTATTCTTCTCGATCGTGCAGTTGTCCTGTTCTTTCACTTCTCAACAACGAAAAAAAAAAAAAAAAAAAAAAAAAAAGAAAAAAGAAAAAAAAAAGGTTGAATTGCAATTGAAATGCAGTGGTTCCACGAGTTTGTGAGTGGCACATCACTGCATTCTTCGCAAACTCAGCAAAATTACGAAGAAGCTTACAGGGATGAGAATGATGCTTTCCGATGCTGGGAGTGGGGTTCGCATCGAGCTGTGAGCTGCTACATGGTCATTCACGTTGAATGAGGCAAGCATCACACAGTACGGGATTTGACCCTGATGTCTTGCCTAAAAAATTGACTGAAAAACAATATACGTTCACATTCAAGGCTATCAGAAGTTGGGTAAAAGAGGAGAGCTCGCTTTTAGACGATGAAGTAGTTGCTCTTGCTGCATTCTAGTGGTAGATGAAGGGCCTCTGGGGTATTGGTGAAAGATCATGCAGCGTGCGTAGACTGGATGGCTGTGAGCGGTATCTAGGAAGCTGTCGGGCTCGTCCTTTGCGACGGACACACGAAAGACACTTTTATGTGTACAAATTGAAGTTAAGGATCTATTTGTGGTGCAGCAAGCGTCCAAGTCCGTCCCCAGTTCTTCTATGCATAGGATTGCAGCTATGGCCGGATCCAGCGTTCCCTGAAGGCAATGGTTGGATGTGCCCACAACTTGCATGCATTGTTTGGGAGGACCTTAAGGTGCATAGAGAACGCCTGCCCTGAGAACGAAAGTCGTCTTCCGCGGACTTGGGGCTCGTTTCCAAAATAAGGTCGCCTCTGCTTGCAAGCACCACAATTGCGCACCATTTGTACTATTCACGCGCAAGGATCAACCATTCTTCTTCGAAAGTTCTCCAAACATATCTAATTGTGTGCACCAGATGAGAGTTGCACTTTACGGGCCCAGCCCCACGAGCCGCCTCTTTTCCCATCAAAAGTAACTGGATGCGATAAGATCATCTAAACGTGCATCCAGCCACAGTTTCTTCCTTCAAAAACTTTGACCGATTGATCCAACGGTTCGTTGAAATATGGCGTGTCAATGATACGGACTGGTAAAGGAAACATTCACAGAACTCTATTCGCAATCTTACATCCTAGCTGGATAAACAAAAAGCCCCATGGTGTGCTTTTTATCACAGTAAAGATGACGGTAAGAAAAGAGCATGGCTAAGTGCTCCTCCCATTAAAAGTCAATCGACGATTGACGAAGATTGCTTCGAAGCAGTAACTGAGAATGATAGGAAAAATGAAATGATGCAATCGTCGACCAACTTGATCACAATATTATTCAAGAATTGTAGACCACCAAATTTTTGGGATATGGTCTTATAATCAAAAGGAATATTGCTTACATAATTCTTGATGTTGCCATTTTGAATTAAGTTGTTTTAACCTCCATTCCTGTAGTAGGAGATCCTCGAGTCTAGTAGCGTATCTCGGGTGCAATGCAAAGACATTGAAAGTGGCCCCTGCAACGAAGAAATAGTGCTACAAGCATTAAGCATTCAAAATTTCACGGCAGAGTTCTCGCAATCGCTGACCATCGGGAGATCAAAGCCAAAATACAACTCTAGCAATTCATCTTAGCAGAGATGGAATAATGGAAGAATACAAACAGGAAGCAGACTTACTGAATTTGAAGCTTGGTTGGAGCGGGAAAACAAGTCTCCGGTTATGACCAATCTTGTGCCGCACTTACCAAAGGTGGTCGACAAACTGTAGGGATTTCATAATAAGATAACCGCACAGGAAGGAACTGCTGAAGGGTAAATAATTAGATGACTAGATTACCAGTTTTCTATCATCCAATGTGTATGCACAGTTGATAGCTACAAAAGATCCAACGTGCCCATTTAGAAAAACCAAGCTGAGAGAGAGAGAGAGAGAGAGAGAGAGAGAGATATTAACACTCTACCCTTCTTCTACGATGGTACATGATTGACAGCTGAAAACTTTGTTTCTCGTTATTTAGAGCTTGCAAAAAGCGGAAAAATCTTTTACTGCTTTACAAATATTAGACCAAGCGGAAGTTGCTGTCTGAAGATACTGTTCATAAAAGGACAGAAAGAAATTTAAAAGCATGGAAATGCGTGACTCTAAGCACGTTTTCTTCCAATAGAAGTTGATTAATACATTTCAAAATTCCCCAAAGTTCTCCAAGTGATTGCAGCAGGTTCTGTATTCCCCTGGTGTTTTAAAGTGGTGTAGCCCCTGCAGATATCATTGAAAACCGCCTATTCTTCCTAAAACAAGTAACAATACAAAATAAATAGTTAACGAGAGATTTGCAAACAACTCAAGTGAAGTTCGGAAAGAATAGCATTCATGTAGAATCCACGTGTAAGGTAGAGAAGGGAAAAACCTGGGAAGATGCTTCTGCTACAAACATGGGAGTTTTAGGTAAATTTTCATTAGAGAAAAACTTGGGGGAGTCCGATTTCTCTTTAGCGAAATGGACGGTCTCAACTATAGATGAACCCTGTATAGTATACACCAAAAGTATATCATGAAGAGAAAATAGTTCGGTTGCCAGAGATTCAAAAAGATGTAGAAGTAATATTGTGTTCATCCTCTTCAGCACATGGAACGATTTAAATAGAACGAATATTTGATGAATACTCACCTCAAATATTTGACCCAATAATTTGATTGCTTCGGCACGTTTTAGCAGTTCCTTAGGGTCGGAAATTTTTGGATCACGAATAACCTGTAGAATATGAGCTTTTGAGGTTACCTCATGAACCTGTACAAGCTAGACTCGATGATTGCGCAAGTTCACTTCAATCTATCATGAAGCAAGGTCTGCTAAATCTGAGAGCTGGGAGACTTTTCAAGCGTATAAATATGTTCTCAAAGTAACAGGATTTAAGCGTGAAAGTCAATACAAGAGAACTGGAAGTAGTGTGAACGTTAATTGGAGAATGTTTTCATTCATCAAAAGTTGCATCATGTCTTTTAATCATACCAAACAAAACGAAATTTAATAAGTACCTTTTGACAAACATGCGAGAGCGTTGATTCAATATCAATCACATTAATTTTCCACAGATTATCCAGCATAATCTTTTGGTTAGTCTCCAAATATGTTTCCAGTTTCTGCTCCTGCACTTCTGTAGTCTGCATCATTTTTTTCATCTCTTCTTGCATACGCATCAGTTGCACTGCACCTGAAACATCAATAAGGCAGTGTCTGGCTACATGAGGTAAGCTTACAACTTTTTCTCATTTTTCTCTTTCTTTGATCTGTTCAATTACGCAATCAGGTCCTTTAGTTCTATGATAATCACTACTGCACTTACAGCTAGCCTACAACCATACTTAAACTCAGATACGTACCTCCAACAGCTGTGAACTGTGATTTGATTCGATGACCCTTGCCACGCATCCACTCGGTCACATATGGCACCCCCAAATATTTTGACGTCCTGCCGAGTTCCTTAGAAGCTTGCCTGGAGTAGATGTACCCGATGGTCTCCAACATTTCTTCTCCAAAAGCTGAAAAGTTGACCCGTATTGTTCCAACACGATAACAGTTGAGTAGTGAACGAAGCTTTTGCAAAGTAGGACAAAACCCTCCTATGTTATCACCTAAAAGCATTTTAACCGCGACGACCTTCAAATATAGCCAATTACAAGCGGATTATTAAAAATTGAAGAACCCATGTGTATTGAAGGAAGGACAGTTGAAAGTCTTACAGGCAAGACTCAAGCGATCACGATTCTCAAGAGCCTCCTGGATAAACTTTTCTTTGTTTCCTTCCATATAAAGCTTAATGTGTAACAGAAGTAGGTCAGCAAGTTTCCTCTCCCTTTCTTCCTGGACACGCTGTTCACATGTGTTGCACAAAAAATCGTAAGACAATGATCAGAGCACCTAAAATAGAATATATGTTTTGAGTGGTCAGCAGAGATTATCTCTGCCTAAACCTCGGACAAGTATACTCTTGCTAACCCAGCCATTGCACGCAGAGCATTTCGTACGAGTCAAGGTTATGCACAACCTTGTCCTGGTTTCTCAGCATTTTGGAGATAACTCTACGAACCAAAGAATCTCAAAGTTGCTAAAACTAAAGTATTCAAACAAACAAAAGAAACCATCGAATAAATAGTCAACTCTTTTCAAATTACAATAAGTGGATCCCAAACAATTATTTCTGTATACGAAATAATTTCCGGGGAAAAGAACACTTACCCTGAATCTATCCTTGACTTGCTTGCCATCGCTCATCTCACTGTCTTGTCCTGAAACTGTTGCCAACGCCAACTGCCATAACCAAGGAATATATTTATTTTTGTTTTTTTATATACATGTATAGGTGTGTGTATATGCTTAGAAAAAGATTGGAATGAAGAGGCTTACACTATACTGAATAATCAAGAATACATGAACTAAAAAAATACTTAGAAATCCCAATTCAGTGAAAGCATACAAATCCGGAATCTCGGTCCCTATCTTGACGAAGAAATCTGAAACACTTGGACCAAAAGTTCCAAACATAACACGAACAAGAGAAGAAGAAGCAAGTGTTAGTATGCATAAACAGCAGTTATTTAAAAAATGTCTGTACCTGACCAACATATTCCTCAAATGCGTCACTGCCAAACATCATTCCAAAAACAGCTCCAGGATCTACCATCGATTCCCTGGTTTACCAAAATAAAAAGATCAGTGAACGAAGATCTTTATCAAAACGATGCAGAGACAACTCCACTCAAGCATTTCAAGGCAGCAAATATTTAAGCACAAGAGCCCAACCATATGACTGATTCAAATCCACTCAATGTCATCACGTGAAGGGTTAAAGGTGAGCTTCAGTCATATTGAAAACCATAGCATGTTCACAGAGCTGTTGCTAAAGCAAAGGGAAGAGGATCAGATACATACCCTGGTATTTCTTCCTTTCCGTGTTTGTCATAGGCCTCCCGCTTCTGTGGATCGCTAAGCACCTGATACGCCTCACCCAAGGCCTACAAAAATAATAATGATAATAATAATAATAATAATAATAATAAACATGAGGTGTGTATACGCTGCGCAAATGCCCACATCTTAAAATTGATGAGAGGGCAAGATCATTGCTTGAATTGGTTTTTGAAGTACTACAACTCACTATAAAAGAAGACAGTAACTGCTGCAAGTATTGCGGCCAACTCTATCAAGGAGACCTCGTACCTGAAATTCCTTTGCAGCTGCAGGATTGTTTGGATTCTTATCAGGGTGCACTTTTCTTGCCTGAAGTAAAGAAGTTAAAACATCAGAGACGCATCACCTGGTCAGCGAAAAATATTCTTGGTACATTGACATGAATGCATTGGTAAGAACAATATAAATTCTTCAAAACTTTACCCTCAAATCATCATCCAAGACAGTGAACCACTCAATAGCCTCTGATTTCAATTACGTATCACTTTCGTCAACTCCTATACTCGTCAGCTGGAATAATGATATCATTCAAGTCGCTTTGATGCTCTAATTGGAATGAGGGTGAAATAAATAAATAAACAATAGCAGATTCGGTACTTTGCAGTGAGTTCCTCAGCCTCTTCGAACTCCAGTAATATCCAGACATCATCCAAGTCCTTGCATGATCGTCTGTAAGCACTTCATAAACATACCAGATGCTTTCCTGACCATGCAGTATACCGGCAGAGAAACCTAACCTGAACATAGTACGCCTTCTTGATGTCTGCAGGGGTAGCATCTGGCTGGATCCCGAGAACATCATAATACGCAGAGTCCTTCACCATCTTCGCGACACAAAAATCCGCGAAAATAAGTGAAAACTCTTTTTACAGCAGGAGCTTGCAATTCGCCTCCTCCGCAAATTCTACTTTCTAAGGCTAAAACGAGAAAATAAATAAATAAAATAAAATAAAAAAGCAGAAATTCCGATCACGCTATCCTCAACCCCGCGACGCGAAACTCAACAGCTTTTCCGCGCCACATCCACGATCACCAACACAGAAGCCACAGATTCAAATCCTCCTCGACACAGAAAACACACAAAGCAGGATCACCGAAGCAAAGCGCCGTCTACGAGACTACAGAAGAGCTGCAGAATGCGCAGAAAGGGAGGGCGGGGGCGAGGAATGAATGTCCAGATTGTAGCTTCAAAAGCACGGGCACAGGAGGAGAGGAGAGGAAGAAAGGGTGCCCCACACAGATTGATCCTCTCCTCTCCCTCCCTCAGGAGTTGCGAAGAGGGGCGGGGGGGGGGGGGGGTCTTGGGGCTGGCTGTGTTTCAAGCACGGGTTGCCATTATAGGAAATCTCGAATCGGGTTGAAGATGCCCCCCGCCCCGCCCCAGAGGTGCTTGCTGCGTCAACCCAATTTGGTTATAATTAACCAAACAAGATGTTATGGTCTACCTTCAAATTCTTGCTTAGTTGAATTGTAGAAGAACCCTTTAAAAAATACTGTAAATATTCATTGTAATGTTTTGTAATGATTTGAAAAGTATTTCTTATGGTTAGAATAAATATAAGATATTATTTTTACCAATATCTTTTGGTAATTTGGTCATAATAGATATTACCAAATTGACACTTGGTGATTTTTATAGCAAATTTTTTATTTATTTATATTTTATAGAAAAAATATTATCAATAAATATGACTATATTGTGTAAATATTACCATATTACGTAGTAGTTTATAATAATATTATTTTTATTTATTATTTAGTGTCATATTATTTTTTTAGTGTTATAATGGAGAACTTTCAATTAGTCCTGTATTAAAGATGTTAGAGTATGGCATGTTTTTATTTTTAGTTTTTTTCTTTACTAAGATTAAAGTCTTCTCCAAAAATTTAGGAACTTTGTCAATAGATGCTACACAAAGATAATTTAAGAATCCAATATAGATTTTTTAAAGTAAAAAATTAGATATTTTTTTGAAAACCCTATTAATATTGTTTGTATATTTGTAATGTTTTTATATCATTTGGTGTATTAAATGAAATTTTTATCATTGAAATTGTGCTAATATAAAAGTTAAACGAATTATACTATCAAATATTAATATAAGTAATCAACTATTTGTGATTTCTTATATTATATAAAGTATGATTAAAAAAATTGGATTAATTTTTCTATTTATTTTTTAATATTTAAAATGCCAAAATTATCTAAACTATTAACAAATATTATTAAATATTTTTTGTTTGTATAAACTAGCATTGTATCACAGACATATATATTTACCTCAATAGTTACTTATATGATTAAGTAGAAATAGGTAAATATAGAATAATTTCATAAAGTCTTCTAGAAAAGCTTCCTAGAAGCTTTATAGATGCGGTTTTGACTTTAGATGTGTTTGTAGGTTAGAAACTTGGCTAAAAAGCTAACCATGTATTGGTAGCTTGTTGAACAAGCCAACTACGTGGTGCATATATAGATAACTTGCCTTACAAGATAAAATATGTGGCTAACAAAGTCAACACATGTTGGAGGTCCTATAGGACATTGCCACATAGCTCTTAGTTAAATAATATATATGGAGGCAAGAGTGAAGCCTTCTTCACTCTTGTCAACACCTTTCTAGTCTTAGTCTTATTTCAAGACTTTCTAGTCTTTCTTGTTTTTGGCAATAGCCATTCTAATTAATATCACATCATCTTTTGAGTGACTTTGTAGTTCTCTTCAGCTATAGAAGAATATATTGAGGATTCTCTTTCTTTGAGATTCATGTCCGTGACACATTATTACTACTTTTAATATGTTATCATAATTAAATAATGTGATAAGATAATTAAATTTTAATAGTTCCTTATTGAAGTATATGTATATATATATATATAAATATATATATATATATATATATATTGATTATTCTGATATTACCACAATAAAAGAAAAAATAATAAGGTTGTAAAATCATGTTTCATCTTAAAGTTTTTATAAAATCTATAATAATAAAAAAATAAAAAATACATCCAAATTCATATAATATCAAAATATGTAATATTTCTTGTTATAAATTTCTTAAATATAATTCTCTATTCTGATATAATCAATTAAATATCATACCAAAAGTTTTTTACATATTTATGTTTTATATTAAGAAGTATCAATAATATTTGGTTAAATATATCAATCAATTATTAATTTATTAATAAAATTTTAAGATTTTTAATTTATAATTTGAATATTATTTCTATTTATATAAATTAAAAAATATCAATTGTTTTGGATTATGAATAGAATTTGAATAATTTTTTCATTAAAACTTAAACATCTTAATTCTTTTCTTAATTGTTTGAATTTTCTATAGAAGAAAAAATTATGGATACTACTCTTCATAGCAATGAGAATAGATTTGCAACTATTATAGATCTTGATGAACTTATTAATACTTTTAGGATAAAAATCTCATGTATTTTCAGTATGAATCATAGATGTATTATTCCTATTCTTATGGAAGAAGTCAACAATGAAGTTCAAATTTTGATCCAAGAAGTTGTACAATTAAGAGAAGTAAGTAAATCAAGTTTACAATTAAATCTGAGGAATTTTTATACTATAAGTATAAGCAAGACAAGAATAAGTATGCTAAAGAAGTTTAATGGAATAAGATCAAAGTTTTGAGGGTTTTTATATTAAACAAAGTTCTATCTAAGATTACATCTTTTTGAATACTATGATGGATTTATTCAAGTTGGATTCATAGGAACATGGTTCAAGAAGGAGCATGGTTGCTAAAAAAAATGATGTATCAAAAAAAAGTTTTTCTAATTATAATAGGAACCATGTGGCTGAATTTTTGTATAACATCTACTAAAGGTCATATTCTTTCTATAGATCCCTCAACTTATTTCATAATAGAAGTTTATTTAGAACCAAAAATTACAAATTCTTAGCCCTGCTAGATTAAAGAACCTCAGCTTATTTTATAAACAAAGACTTTGTCACAAAATAAGAAATATCTCTAGTTAAAAAATCAAACTTGTGCATGTGGAAGTAATAGATGGACATTTTTTTTCTTTTGGAGATGTTATACATGAAATTATTTCTTTAAATGTAGCAACTAATCATCATAATAATTTAATAATATTTAATATAATTAAATCTTCTTTTAATTCAATTATTTTAGGATTATCATATTTAGAAAAGTATAATCTTCAAATAGATTAGATTTTTTATAATCTTGATTTATTTCTTAATTTAGTCTAAGATTTTGCTAGACAAATAAAAATCCATAAGATCAAAACATCTAAACTATTATTGATAGATGTCAAAGCTTTCATACATGTTGCAAAAAATGGGTCAACTTTTGCTATATATGCCATACCTATTTTTTATAGAAAAAATATTTTAAGTAGTATTTTAAGCCAATACTAAGATTATCAAGACGTTTTTGAAAAAAAAAATATAAATATTCTTTCAAAGCATCATTTCTATGATTGTTCCATTGATCTTTAAGAAAGAATTCAATTATAATTTGGACCAATCTATAGCCTATTACAAAATAAATTTGCTATACTTAAAAAGTAAATTGATAAAAATTTGGCTAAAAACTTCATACGCCATTCTAAATCTCTAATTGGTGCTCTTATCTTATTTAAGAGGAAAAAAGATGGATCTTTATAGATGCATGTAGACTATTAAGGACTCAATAAGATTACTATAAAAAATAAGTATCATCTACCTTTGATTCCATGAATTTTTGATCAATTCAATTAAGAAAAGATCTATATATAAATAAATATATGAAGAATATACAACTTGATATGTATTAAAAAAAGAGATGAATGAAAACTACGTTTTAAATCAAGTATGGAAATTTTGAATATGGTGTCATACTTTTTGGACTCACAAATATACCGATTGCTTGTTAATATGTAATGAATGATGTCTTTTGTGAGTTTCTTAATAATTTTGTCATTTTTTATTTAGATAATATTTTAATCTATTCTAAGAATACATAAAAGGATAAAATTCATATTTATCATGTATTATAAAAACTAAGAGATGTAGGATTATATGCTAAGATAGAAAAAAGTATATATTTCATACTATTCAAGTTGACTTCTTATGATACATCATTTTGAATAATAGTCTTATGATGGATCTTAAAAAGATTCAAATTATTATTCATTAAAAGATTCCAAAAATAGTCAAAGATGTGCAATTTTTTTTAGATATTACTTATAATTATCAGATATTCATTAAGAATTTGTTTCAAGTTGCAACTCCTCTTACACGTCTAATATGTAAAAACAAACTTAAATGGAATAAAAAAGTTGAAACATATTTTAAAGCCTTAAAGACATTATTTATTTTTGCATCAATCTTACATTGTGTCAACTTCTTCAAGGCATTCTTTATAGAAATAAACACATTAAAATTTACTATAGATGTCATTTCGTCTTAAATGGGAGTAGATGACAAGTTCCACTTGGTAGTTTTCTATTCTAAGAAATTTTTAGCAACCAAGATTAATTATGAGATCCATGACAAAAAACTTCTTGTAATCATGGATACATTTTAAGAACGGCATCATTATCTACAAGGTTCATTGAATCCAATCATTGTGTATATGAATCATAAGAATCTTTAGTACTTCATATTGATATGTATTTTGAATCGTCACCAAGCTTGTTGGAGCATGTTTTTATTAAGGTTACTTATTGATTTAAAAAATAATAAGGTTTATTAGATATTATTTTTAAATATTTTAATCTTCTATTAAAAAAAATATAGTTTTTGATTAATAAAAAATGATTCTTTTGAAGTCAAATTATTTCCATCGTTGAGCAATGAAATCAATATTGATTATTGATTCAATTTTTTTCAAGTAAGTTCAATCAAATATGTATTTTGATTTTTTTATTCATAATATTAAAAGTCATATGATTCTTATAAATTTGAATTTAAAAATATTCTTTTTTGTTTTAAAGAATGATTATATATTCCAAAAGGTAAAACACAATTACATATTTTTCAAGCTTGTTACAACTTTTCAACAGCTAGACATTTTGGATATAATAAGACTTTGGAGCTAGTATCAAGAGATTTTTGGTGACTTTAAACGTTGAAGCTAGTTCAATACTTTATACAATCATATGACAAAATCATCTAAAAACTCTAGAAAGACATTATTTATTAGATGTTGGAATGCTGCTGGTACATTTATAAGTCCAGAAAGCATGACGTTGTATTCAAAATGTCCATACCTT